ATTTTTTTTTTTTTTCGGGGGCCAAAAAAGGGGGTTTTTGGGGGTTTTTACCCCTTTAAAAAAATTCGGGGAAAAAGGACCCCCGGAAAAAACAAAAAAAGAAGGGGGGCTTTCCACCCAAGGGGGGCCCCGAACTTTGGGGGGTTTATTCCGGGACCTGCCCCCCGGGTGTGGCGGTTGCCTCCCCCCGTGGAACAAAAGGAGAAAATCCCCCCCCCCCCCTCCCCACCCCCCCAACCTCTCCTCCCCGTTCTCAGCACACCAGCAATGGGGGAGTGGAAGAGTTTTCTGAGTCAGACTTGTCTCTTTAAGAGGCTCAGAGTGACTACAGAGCTTTTCAGCATGTCTTTGCTGTATAAGGAATTGGATCAGCTGTTACAACAGCCCCAAGGTTTAAACAGAGGTCCCAGAAGCAGGCATTGATATACTTTCCGAAAAGTTTCAGGAACTCCTCCCTCTTCCCCTGTCGCCCCCCCCCCCCCCCCGCTCCCCTGCCCTCCTTCCCCTCCCCCAAGCCCTTCAATCTCCGTACCAGGAGATGATCCTACAGTGAGGGCAACGATGTCCCTTTGTTAGAAGGTGTCCCATCGCCACCATTTGGACTTGTCTCCTGCATTCTCATGTGCCTTTTGGTGTAGTACGTCATCATCTTTAATCTCACATAGAATTGAGATTGTTCAGGGAGAGTTTGACCTCTCTGAGTACACTGCGGGAACACAACGTGCTGCTTCAGCAAGTTCGATAACTGGCTCTCATCGTGTGCTCACCCTGAGACTCTATCGGCCACTGGGAATCTTTTGACAAAGTCTTTTACTGCTACCAGGACTTCGGAGTAGAGGTATATCCCCGCTTGTTCACAACTACAAGCCTCCTATAACGGCCACCGTGCTCATGCCAGAAATAAAATTGCTTAGGAAGCTATGACTTTTGAATAAGGCAGCTGCAAACGCAAAACATCACATAAACTAGCAGCTCACCAAGAGAGAAGAATGTAAGAAAGCTTTTGTGTTCTGACCAATTGCTCTTTGAGAATTTACATAAAATATGTCGCCATTATGTTTGTATTCAAAAGTGTATTATTGTTCTCACAGGAAAAACGAGACCATTGTTTCTCGTGACGTATGTGTAGCGTACGTCATAATTTCAAGACAGTGCTTGTCAACCTTTGCCATCCCATTTGTGTCATCTTGACGAGGTTAACATTTTATACTGCTCTCCTACGTGAAGTTGTACATAATAGTGTTATATCTAAGCGGGCACTAAGTAATAGTTGTCACTATCTGGGTGATCCTCACCAACCACCAAACTATTACCAAAGCGCCTATGTTGGAAAGCGCTGTTCTAAGGAGACAAATCCATTTGTGGAATTAAAACCGAGATTCTTTCGCCTGTTTAGAGTACTGAATGGTGTCGTAATTCTTATGTCATAACAAGCCACAGAAGCCTTTGTAAGAATAACATGGCACATGTTAATTCCATGAGTTGCCAAACAAAACTTGTGTGACTACAATCATTTCATTTGCATGTATAAATAAAAGATGAACTACAGCTGAAAATGATATTGTTTTCCTCATTGAATTCATTGTTTTCGTGTATTATATTAGTAACTCGGTCAAACGCCTTCTTTCTTTTCGTAATTCTCTCATTATCTCCCCTGTTCCTCCAATCTCATGTCCTTCCTCCTTTGTTTAGAACCAAGCCCAAGAAAAATATGTACATTGTGCATGTTATTGTAAGTGTATGAATGGGCAAAACAGCATAACTATTGAAAGAGCACAATGTGGTATCTGGTGGGAAACATTTTGTTTGATATAACCTGATCCAACACGGATACTTCCCTTTCCCCTGGTTAGTACAATTTTAAGTAACAAAGAAAAATAATAAATGGAGGTGTTACGTCCCCATGGACACAATTCAAATCATTTAGGAGGCAGCCTTCAATCCTGTCTGATAGGATCAACCCTGGCTGAGAGGAATGCAGGGTCTCAGCAGAAAGACCGAAGTACAATGTACTCGATAGAAATTCTCCCTACACAGGAATCAAACTAAGGTTTTCTGTGTTCGACGGCAAAGTGCTTATCTGATATGCCAAAAACGCTGGTATCAATAGGTAGATACTTTTGTGATATCTTAGCATGAACAGCTCTAAGTAGAGAGTATGTTTTTTTAGTTGCCGTTTTCTGGATTCAGAGCTCAAAGAAACCGACAGCTGGCTCAGAAAATAATTGTGGGGTAAACAGGTCTTTTTACTTACCTGTAGTATCGCATTTTGATTTTCAGGTGTTAGTCCAATACTATAGAGTTTGCCTCAGTTCAGCATCACTGGACAATTATATTTACCCATCTTTGTAGCGGGCCCCGGCTTGTCATTTTAACTTGAAATAGGGTGGCACAAAAATTGCCTAGGTAGTGCGCCAGGGAGGGGGTGGGGGGAGAAAAACTTCTGATTTTGAAATCCACTCAATTGTGTTATCTGGGTAATTGGATTCTTGAAACCTTTTCACCCTCTCCCCCCTCTCCCCCCCCCCCCCCCTCCTTTTACCACACAAACCACCCCATCCTTAAACATTTAAATGATTTAAGAAGGCATGAGTACAGTACTTTTATATTATGTCTAATCTACTTTAACTTCTGATTTTGATTTGGGACACGCAGATTGGCCTCAACAATAGTTTTAGATGAAAAACGAACACAACAAAACAAAACAAAATAAAACAAAACACGAAAACAAAAATACCCCAAAACAAACAAACAAACAAACAAACAAACAAAAAAACAAACAAACAAACAAACAAACAAACAAACAAACAAACAAACAAACAAACAAACAAACAAACAAACAAACAAACTAACAAAGAGGCTAACAAACAAACGAACAAACAGACTAACAAACAAACCAACAAACCAACAAACCAAGAAACAATTTTTTTTAAACAAAAAAAACACACAAACAAAAAACACACAAACAAACAAACAAACAGACTGACAAGCAAGCTAACAAACTGACTAACAATTAAACAA